TTGGCTGCTGGTGCCAAGAGTGTTGACTGTGGAGCCGAGCAAATGAAAGCTGTGAACAATCTCAATCTCTTCGCCATCCATCCTGATGCTGCCGATTGGTCCAGTGGTGAGAATCTTTGTCTTCTTGACGTTGAGCCTCAGTCCATACTGAAGGCTGCAGTCCTTGACCCTCTGCAGCAAGTGCAAATCTATAAGGTGGGGGAAAAATATACCAAGCAAATGGCATCCATAAGGAAGCTGGAGTGGCAATATGAATTACCAATAAAGTAGGCTTCAGAATGAAAACCAATGCTTGTCAGCCTTTTGGCTAAGATCAAGTGCAGAATAAAAACCGTAAGAGATAAGGAAGGACATTATATAATGATTAAAGACTCAATAAATAAAGAAGATGTAGCCTTAGTTAACATCAATGTATTTACTGATTGTTGTTGTTAAGTGCTGCTGAGTAGAGTACAACTCACAGAGACCCTATGAACAAAAGATCTGAACCCTATTCTATCCTCTGTCATACTCACACTTCCTCACACGACCGTGTCTTCTCTTTCACTGACCCTCCACCCTTCCTAGGATTGTATCCCACTCCAAGGAATAGTCCCCTCTAGCACCTTGCCCAAAGTATGTAAGGTCATTCTTGCCTCAAAACAGCACTCTGGATGCACCCTCTCCAAGACATATCTGTTTGTTCTCTTGGCTGTTCATGAGATGTTCAGTGTTCTTCTCCAACACCACAGCTCAAAAGCATTAAATTTTCTCTGCCATCCTTATTCATTGTCCAGCTTTCAGATGTATAGCAAGTGTTTGGAAATACTGTGGCCTGAATCAGACACATCTTAGTTCTCAAACTGACATCATTAATCTGCAATAATTTGGAGAGGCCCCTAAGTGCAGGTTTTGCAGGATGATGTTTCCTTATTTCCTGACTGCTGGTGCTAAGGTTGTTAATTGTGGATCCAAGGAAGATGAAGTTGTTGACAGTTTCAATCTCTTCTGCAACCATCATGATGTTGCCTTTCAGTCCAGCAAAATACATAAAACAATGATTTACAGATTTGAAGAAATAAATAGATACCACCACAGTAGTAGTTGGAGACTTCAACACACTACTCTCAACTCAAAGGAAACTCAACAAAGTTGCAGAACTGAGCCATACAATTTGACCTCATAGAATTATTCAGGGTACTTTAGCAAAAACTTAATTAACTTTCTTTTCAAGTATACTTGGTACTATCAAGAATTAACCATATATTAGGAAGCAAAGCAAGCCTCAATAAATTATATAAAAAAGAAG